TCAGGCCACATGCGCTTTCAAGAAAACCTGCGGTAGACAACCGCCGGTCAAACTATACCATCACGTCTTCCTCCACCCCGACGGGTCTTATTATCCACTACAACCATCCAATCGCCACCTCCCGAGGAAGTGAGAAATGTGCGTCTCGACTCCGTCTCCATGCGACTTCTTTGCTGCATGCCTGATTCGTGTCTGAGGCTATTTCGGCCAAACCGTCAGTTGTGGCACTCTTATTGCTTATAACTGACTGGCTTATTTAAACCAGACAGTCAGCAACATTGTTTCTTGTTAGTTCAAAGTTACATACTCTACGAGAGCGATACCTAGCACGAGACAGTCAGAGGGGGCAGAAATCTCTGATAAAGATGGGTTGGACTGGAACAGCCATTCCTACTTCAGTTGCCTTCAACTGTTCACGCATAAGAGACCAGAAATTTGGATTTCGAGGAGGCCTAGACACGAAGTTTAAAGCAGGAGTATTATACCTACAGAGTCATGCTTTGTCCAGTGCAAGTGACGTTTTCCTTCCTGGCCTAATTACTCCAGCCCAGAGCCCGACATTTTGACGACCGTATATGAAGACTTCAGTCGCGGGGCACCAGAGAGTGGGCGTAGCGAGGCCTGCGAATGGGTCAGATTATGGTGGGGTAGGCTTGCGCAGCCTCCTCCCACACCCTTTCTTTTCTCATCCGCTTTGCTGAGACGATAGGGACGTAGTGACCGACAAAGCCAGGCAGCTCGTCTACCTGTGTCACCATAGCATGTATCAGTCCTTCACGAGGACGGCTCGTATGTCACACCACCGTGAATGCAGTGGAGTCCGCATCAGACGGGAGCCGATGCAGCCTGACTCGCAGTCCTGTAAGGGACCCGTCCGTTGGTAGCCTTCAAAGCCCTTACCCATGTCGAATTTGTTATAGTGAGGAATGCGCCTGTCGACTCACAATGCATGCCAACTAATTGATGGTGGGATTGGACACAGACGATAGCGCGGGATGGTTCACGTCTGGGACATGTCACCACATGTGTGTACGGCAGCAGGTAGGGACTTTGTGGGTCCGGTTCTGCCGGAAGTAAGCGCGCTGTGAATCAGTCTGGCCCCAGGTTTTTTTCCCAGGACACATACAACGCAGTGCGTTGTGGGTGGCGTGAGGGAGGGAAGTGGGTACTGGTAGCATGGTTGACAGCCGTCTAAAGGGCATTTTAAAGCTACTTTCAGTGCTCCATATGACCAAAACAGCTGTCGCATGCTAGGAGGTCCAATCTGGAATTGGGGCTACGCGTTAGGTTACTTAGCCACCGACGGGCGGTTTTGCCCCTTGGCAGCCATAAAAGTATGCGTCTCCTTCAAACCCGTTTTAATTTCGATTAGTCTTACTCGCGGCGGCAGGACAAAACACTGGAGACAGCATTCGCTGACAGGTCCTGGCTTCGGCAGGAAGTAACGCTGGATAATACCTCGTGATTATTAATCAACCGCCCATGTGCGGTCGCATGTCAGGGCTCCAAACTGTGCCGCCGAGGCAGGTGGCACCACCAGTGTTGCGTTTCACAGTGGTAAATGTCCATTTGTGTGGTTTGGCCAAAAGTCATCGCTTTGATTAGGCATCATGCTTAAAGGAAGAATACTATAGAGTGGTTATCACGAGTTTCGGACAGACAGGTCTGGACTTAAGACGCCTCACTACCACGGAATCCTGGTTTGAATCTCAGCCTGGAAAAGACCAACTGACGACAGTCATTTTTATTACCGACTTCCCTGTCGGCATCCCCGTCCGCGTCACTTGTTATCGCCATGTGACTGACAACAGGGCGAGCAAATGACTGTTGTCAGGTAACTGGTTAATCGGAATTAATCTTTCTTCTAGATTATGGGTTGCGCAGAGCCCTGCAATCCCCCACGAGAGACTAAATGGAAAATGCTGTCGGTGTAGCGATCTACAAAACCAGCCCCACCACTGCTGTCAAAGCCAAGCGCGAGGCTCGCAAATCTCAGCTGGGTCCACCTCGCAACGTCAACGCTCAGCAACCCCAACCTGATCACAGGAACAAATGCCTTATTAACCTGACCTTTCGGATTCACACTCGAATCCATCATCAGTGACATTATCAGATAAGGGCAAGTGAATTGACCAGGTGTTGCAATATTTGTAGGATGTAGTTACTAGGCCGCTACATGCCCATCACAGTTGGCAGCTCCCAAGGGCATCACAGCTCCACTGGTCAGGACTTGAATTTAGCCGATGCCATGTCTTGTCGATGCTCCTGTATGCCGGTCAAAATTATCGGCTCACACACTCGTTGTGCGACGCCGCCGCCGCCGACTGGCTGACTACCGGATTTCGTCATCCGTGCGGACTCTTAGGTGATTTGGCTCGTCGACAGTGGTTATGTGCACGTTCTCCGCTTCGCCAACTACTTTACCTAGACTATGTCTCAGCGTCGAATATGGATCAAGGGGGGGGTGGCTGTGCTTGTCGGCTGAATGAGGATCGGGAAAAATGCCTCGAGCAGCTCACTGCTCACGCGGTTGTCGCCTCTAGCAAGAATTTCTGCTTCGTCAAACTTGAATATGTGATTGAATGGCGTCGAGGAGAAAGTGCAGATAACCACTGTCGGTGGTATCAATGTCGGCGAGCCAAATCACCCAAGAGTCCACACGGATGACGAAATCCGGTAGTCAGCCACTCGGCGGCGGTTTCGGTGGCGGTGGCGGCGTGTGATGAGCTTGTGAGGCGATAATCTTGACCGGCATACAGGCGCATAGCACAGGCATGGCAACGGCGTACTCTAACACTTGGTCAGTCAGGCCATGATGCACTCAGCAGCCGCCAACTGTGATAGGCATGTAGCGGCCTAGCAACTACATCCTATAAATATTGCAACACCAGGTCAATCTGATTCTGCCTCTGATGATGGATTCGAGTGAGAATCTGAAAGGTCAGGCTAATTAGGCACTTGTTCTAGCGATCAGGTCGGGGTTGTTGAGCATTGACGTTGTGAGGTGGGCGCAGTTGAGATTTTTTGAGCCTCGCGTTTGGCTTTGGCGGCGGTGATGCGGTTGGTTTCGTAGATAGCTGCACCGTCAGCATTTTCCGGTTAATCTCTCGTGGGGTTTGCACGGCTCTGAGAAATCAGTAATCTAGAATGAAGACGAATTCCTGTTAACCGTGAAACCACTTAACTGGCGACTTCGTGGATTGCTGCGCCTGTCCTCGCTGTCCTCCTTCAGGTCGGTCGGTCGCGGTCGAGGTATTCCCAGTCGGCCGGGGTAATCTGCAGACGCCTCGCAGAAGTCTTCACAGTATCTCGTTAGCGCCGGTCTCGACCTCCTTGCCCGCGGGAACCCGTCGCGACGTCTCCGTAGAAGAGTCGTTTGGGTGGCTAGCAGTCATCCGTCCGTACGAGGTGACCGCTCAAGCGCACATGCAGCTTTCTCAGGCCGGCGTAGATGCTAAGGATTCCCGCCAGTTTCAGTGCGTCAGTGTCGGGGATCCGGTCCTGCCATCTCAGCTTCAGCGCCCGTCGAAGACAACTGAGGTAGAAGTGATTGAGTATCCGCGCCTGCTTCTTGTACATCGTCCGGGTCTAAGCTCCTTTCATCTGCATCGGTGGGATGACTGCCTTGTACATCTTTAGTTTGGTGGCGAGGTGGAGACCATGGCGATTTCAGATTGTGCTTTGTAGACGGCCGAAGTCTTAGCTGCCTTGGGGAATACGAAGGGCCACTTCATCTTCGATCTTGGTGGTGCGAGAGAGGGTGCTGACCAGATAGGAGAAGTTGTCCACGGCTTGCAGTTGGTCGCCGATCACGTGGAAACCGAATGCATTGTAGGCAGCGTCGGGTGGCGCTTGATGCATGACCACCGTATTCTCCGTGTTGATAATCAGACCGAAGTTGTCATAGGCGGCAGTGAAGAGGTCCATGCTCCTTTGCATGTCTCCTTCAGAGGTGGCGTTGGGGACGTAGTCGTCGTCGACGAAGAGAAGTCTGTGAACGGAAGTGCATCCGCCATCGTCCGGCAGGCGACACACATCGCGGTAGGCGTCCATGAGACTGACGGGGGTAGGCAAGAGGATGCAGCCCTGCTTAACCCAGAGGGACATCTCCATTGTCCGCAACTCGCATCAGCATGCCATCGTGTAGCTGACGCAACATCTCAGTAAATCGCTGGGAAGAGTCGAGCTTCTGCATGATTCTCCACAGTCCTTCGCGACTTACTGTGCCGAAGGCTTTCGGCAGGTAGAGTGCAGGTGAATGCGCATTCCCTGACAGTTATCCTGCAATTGACGGTTGGCGAAGATCATGTTCGTGGTTCCACGATGACGACGGATGCTGCACTGGCTTTCCGATAGAAGGCCCTCTTCTAGATGATTACTCAAGCGGTTGGGGACGATGCGAGCGAAGATAATCCCGACGATGTTCAGCGGCTAGATGCCTTGGTGACTGACGCAGAGGCGGCGGTTTCCGTTTCGATTGTATAGATGCACGATGATTTCGTCTTTGAATTCTGCCGGACTTTGCCTTGACGCCACATCTCCTGGAAGAGCGTAGTCAGGTGGTCCATTAGTTGGGGACCGCCGTGCTTGCAGACCTCAGCAGGGTTCGCGTCCGATCCGGGTGCTTTCCCGCTGGAGAGCTGCTGCACGGTCCTGCTGGTTTGCTGGAGAGATGGCGGGAGGTCGAGGTCCGCGTTGGTCTCCACTTGCGGCAAGCGGCCGATGGAGGCATCGGAGGTGGTGGAAGGGCGGTTGACGACGCCTCGGAAGTGTTCGGCCCACCGCTGTAGAATTTGTGTCTTCTCGACGAGTAAGGTACTGCCATCGGCGCTGAGGAGAGGAGCAGTTCCTTTGGCTGTGGGACCGTAGACAGACTTCATCGCGGCAAAGAATTCCTTCCTTTCATTGCGATCTGCATACCCTTGGATCTCCTCGGCCTTACGAGTCGTCCAGACGTCTTGCATCTCGAGCAGTCGCTGTTTCAGGAGGCGACGACTGCGGTAGAAAGCAGCTCTGTTGTCGTCAGTGGGGTGGTCTACGTAGGCTTTGTGTAGGCGGTTCTTCTCGGCGAGCAGATTTCTGATGGTGGCGTCGTTGTCATCAAACCAATCCTGATGCTGGCGTCGTGCGTGACCGGGGACAGCCAGGACCGACGACTGGACTGTGTCCCGCAGTCGACACCATCGTTTTTCCACGGAGGCATTCTTGTCCGCATCGACAATACCGGCGGCGAGTGGAAGGTTGTCTAGCCGTTGAGCTAGCCCATTGCTGAAATGAAGGCGGTGAGCAGGCAAAGACAACCAGGTAATATTCAACTTACCTGGGGGTCTCTTACCTTGGGGTTTCCGGCGGCGATGTAGGCGAATACACACCTTCGAGATAACGAGGCGATGGTCGGTCCAGCCGTTGGCACCAGGAATCGCATTTGTTACCCGAACGTCCCGCTGACCTCGTCTCTGAACGAGGTGCCAGCGCCGCGACCAAGGGTGCATCCAGGTGGCCTTCTCTCGCATCGGGAGGCGAAGGTGGGTGTCGGTCAGGATCAGGCGTTGTTCTGTGAAGGTTCGTAGAAGGAATCGGCCATTGTCATTAGAGCCATTGAGACCATGGGAACCTAGCACTCCTCTCCAGGCAGTATGGTCCGTGCTGACGCGGGAGTTGAAGTCGCCAAGCACAATCAACTTGTCCGCTTTCGACACAGTCCCCAGGAGAGCGTTTAGGTCTTCGTAGAATTGGTCTTTTGCGGCGTCAGAACTGGTCCTCGAGGGAGCGTAGGCGCTGATGGTGGTGTCGAATTCGCCCCGCCGAAGTGGCAGGTGAAGACCCCTCAGTTGGTCGTTGATGCCCTGCGACAGACAGGGCGGTCGTCCCACGATGTCGTTCCGGATGGCATAGGCGACGCCCGCGTCTCCTCGCTCTGGCCTGAGACGGATGCTGCAGAAGAAGGTGTAGCCGGTACCCACCTCCTCTAATTCGAAGAATCGGGTCTCGCTGGGTGCAGATATGTCCACCTTATAGCGCGCCAGTTCGCAAGTCATTAGCGCCGTCCTCCGTTCCGGTCGGTTGCTCCTCGGATTGTCTATAAGGGTACGAACATTTCAGATTGCCGGAGTGAGTGGACTCACCCTAGCTGCCGGTGGGATGGAGGGAAGGCAAGGAGGAGGGGGAGGAGGGAGGAAAAGAGAGAGAGAGTACTGTTTCCTATCTGATTATTTCGACCGCATGTTTATCAGTCTGTGGTCCACAGCCTGGACTCAGAGGACGTGAAACTCAGCGTGTGTTTAGGGAACCTTTTCTAGCCGCTTCTCCCCAGCTAGGGCAGGCAGCGCCGTGCTATCCCTAAATAGGGCTACTCAGACATCCCTGGCGGCTGTCGAACTCCACTACTGGGCACGAATTTGTTTAGTGGGGGAACGACCCGTGTTTGTCTGAGCCTCCTACGTGAGCGCTGTCGCTCTCGCCGTAAGATTTATGAAGGAGGGTGGAGAGGGGGGAAGTGGGGAGGGTGCAGAGACGGAAAACAAAGATTTCCGTCCCTAATTATGCTAAATGATTACTGAAATATAAACGGCGGGCAAAAAAAATCAACAGTCCGGTACGTAGCTTACAATAAGGAAATGCACAGTCAAGTACACTAAGACAAGCAAGCAAGACAGCAGAGTTTACCTGGAGGGTCACTTACCTTGTGACTTCATGCAGGGTTGCGAATGAAGCTTCATCTTGGAGGTGGCGATATGGAAGGGGAGCCGAATTACAATACGTTAAGATACACACACTAATACCCTCACCTGGCTTAGCCCACGGTCGAGGCGGTTACCGGGTTGTGGCCGCTAGGCAGAGCCCAGCTTCGGGAAGTCGCATGTAAGAGTGGGGCGCTAGTACATGGACGCTAGGCGTAGTCTACATGTGCAAGTAAGTATCCGACCTACTACAGCCAACATCTGGACACACAACTGTACATCTCTACAGCCCTAGTCACGACCACCACCA